AGAAATTCTTTCTACATTCAACATTCGTGAAAACACTATTAAATGCTATTTTCTGCATAACCTTTTTTTACATATCAAACCAATAAAATTCGAATTTTTTCACAGCCTTTAATAACATCTTAGTATTATCATCAGCTCAATATGTGTTACAAACAAAAAGCGCAATAAAAAGCTTATCCACATATCACGCGTCGTTTTAGTGAATTCCGGTCACCAGATTCAAAACATAATGCATAGAGCCAGAATCGTAACAGATTCATTTTATTTAATTGGTCTCATTCAGTTTAATGCATTATAAACTTGTGTGGTTGAATCACACAAAAATGAATCCAGCCACCAGATTCTTAGATAGCTATTTACAGCAGTGATTAGTTTGATATCGATGTGATGGAACTGGTCACCAGTTCGTTATCAAAGAGTGAAGTCCGTCATCAATTGAGAAAAAAATCCTTAAATTAGAAAATCCCTAAATCAAAATCCCTAATCTGGATTAATTTTCGTTTTATTATCCACAAATGTGGATTCGATTTAGGGTAAAGGATAGACATTCGCTGAAATCTATTTTCCATCCGCTTTCCACCTAATCAGCAAACAAAATTGAATAAAAAAAAGCTTTTTCCAGAAAGTGGTTGAATCCTCAACGATGTACCTTTCTATCAAAAAAGACTTGAGCTCAGCTCCTATGCTACTGAGAAGATCTGGTCAGCAGATTGTGTCTTTTGAAAGAAATTTTTCTCCAGTTTCAATGATTTCGAGAAGAACTGGTTACCAGGTCCTATTTTTTTGAAAAGAATTTGACTTCAGTTTCTATTATACTTTCAAGATGAACTGGTGACTGAATTATCTACCACGAAATATTTTGAACTTCGATCTTAATGGTTTCGAGAAGAACTCGTGATCAGATCTTATATTTTGAAAAGAGTTTGCTTTCAGTTTCTATGCATTTGAGAACAACTGGTCACCAGACTCTGTGGTTTTGAAAAAATGCGTCAGTTTCAACAGGTTTTTTGAGCATAACTGAATGATCAAGTTAGCTCCTTTCTCAATCGAGAAGCACCACACCAGAGATGAGCGAGCCGCGGTGTAAAACCGCCCCGTCCCGCCCCGCCGGCGGGGCGGTGCTAAAACTTGACAGGGCGGGGCGGTGACGGTGCATGATGAAATTTCGCGGTTTCCCCGCCTTTGTATAACCTTGATTTTTTAAATATACTCAGACCTTTAGAGACATCTTTTTAAAATTTTAAAATCTTTTCACAAAACTAATCAGTAAAAAAAGACTTGTTAGCGCAGCTCCAGAGGAGCTAAAATGTGGAACTCACATATATTTTTTTATTTTTTTGTCCTGATGCCTTATTTTTAAATTGTAAAATACCTTTTTTCCGAATACATATGAAATCATTGATAAATTATATAAAAACTAGAGCCTTTTATGTGCTGCTGAGGTCTGTAATGGTGGGGGTCAGGGTTACCAGATCGAAAATTAAAAAATCAGAAAAATTTTTCTAAAAATTGGGAAAGTCGGAATTTTTGTTCTCGAAATCGGAAGAAAATCAGAAAGCATTTTTCCATGCTTAAATAACTAGTCTATATATTTTCGATAGCTTCAATATCCTTTATCTTGCTTCTGTTCATCTTTTCGAAGCAATATCAGAAATGATATTTCATAAAGAATTAAAGAAAATATCGATTACACAATTTACTCATGATTGAGAAATCTACATAAGTAATTTGAACAGGATCACATTATTTTTATCAAAAATGCTATAACCAACTTGACGAAACAATAGAATCAGTATTGTAAATTCATACACACACATGCATTTCACAAAACTTATGCAAAACAAAACTAAGACTTATTCTGTATAATGTTCGTTTTTGTTCATACTTTTTTATTAGCTCGAATACTCTTCAAAATCTCAGGTTGAGGTAACAGATATTCATAAAAATGTCCACAAGTATAAACAGAACTCATTCCGATTTTCAATTCTGCAACAGCTAAATTAGTACCCATACGATTATGATTAGTCTTATGATATCTGTGATGAAACAAAAAAAGCTCAGAAACGAAAATATTCTTAATTAACACTATAGTAAACGAACAGAGAGAGTTAGTTCATCGTGATAGAAAGCTGGATCTTAATTGTCTGTAAAACATCATAGTTTTATTGGAGGATATGCTTTCAAATCACTGCAGTGTGGTTTGTTGAGTTCATGACGCTTCACTACCCGATAACTATGGTGAAATAGATCGCTATATATGTGTGGTGTCGTGTCATGGTTAAACTATTCTAGAATGTCCTAAGAACTTGAATTCCCAAATAAGACTTCGAAAACCGGAGAAAAATTAGGAAATCTGAAGGCGATCGGAAAAATATGTTAAAATCGGAAAAATCGCAACGTCGGAAAGTCGTTGGAGAAACTTTTAAAAAATCGCAATTTTTCCTGCCGTATCGAAAGATCTGGCAACCCTGAGTGGAGTGTCTGTAATGGAGTGGGGAAAGGGAGAGAGCCGCCAAACCTCGAACTTAAAACTTACAATCACTATTTTATTCGAAAATATACGTGAGTTCCACAAAATGAGTGACTGTATTATAATTGCCTTTCATTTTCATATATTTATTTTTTTCTATTTCGGAACGATGTTTATGCATTTAAAATATGCCTCTTCATCTCATGAAATGAAATAGCCATTATGAAAATTTAATGAAAAATTTGTCAATAAATAGTTTTTTAAAACATATTTTTGACGGGGCGGGGCGGGGCGGTGGCGGTGCGGAACTTTATCGACGGTGCGGTGACGGTGCAACTTTTTTGCTGACTCGCTCATCTCTGCACCACACCTCTAGTTATGTATATTGACATGTTTTTCAAAAGCTCTTAAATTAAAGTTCCCACTTGGTCACCAGTATCTACTTATTTGTTTATAGTCCGCAAACGTAGAATTTGGTTTAGAGACTGATTTATGGAACCACAATTTCTAGTAAATGATAACCTACCCACAAGATTAGCTAGTCCGAGTCTCTTCTCTCGGTCATCATTTTCTTATTTGTTCTATTTCTGGTGACCAGAAAATATAGTTATACTTCTTTTCTTGGTCAACCAAATATCTTCAAATATTTTCTAATGACTTTCATTTTCCTATTTATTCTATTCCTGGTGACCAGCATAGACTGATTGACGAAATAATTTTTGCCAAAATCCTTGCTTTCCATGGTGCAAGATGCTTGGTATGGTAGAACAAGGATAGCACTTGATCACAATATGTATTGTATATACTGCATGTATTAAATTCAAAAAAAATCCCTAAATCGAAAAATCCCCAAATTAAAATCCCTATTTGGTCATCAGTATGAGCGTTAATTGATTAGTTTTCCACAAATGCGGATTTCATTTAGGGATTAATTCAGGGAACCTGATTTGTGGAAAATGATAGACATTCAAAATAAACAAATTATTTGATAAGATCTCAGTTTAGTTCATACATGTAGATCATAAATGTTTTGGGAAACTTTAATAGTAATCACATTAGTCAAGTTTTAACTTGAATAAGTTGTAAGAAGAGTATGACAACTATCTATCACACATTTCATATCAAATTGTGGCCCAATCTTTTTAGTTGATCTCTTAAATTGTATCACATATTCTGGATACGCTTGACCAGCATCATATACGACAAATTCACGATAATTTAATCGATCTCCACCATATTTTCTACACTCGCCCATCACACTGTCATACAATTCCTCTGAATTCTTTCTTTGAGGTGGTCGACGCACAGGATGATGTACATCTGTTCCACGGTAAATTTCGCTTTTGTATTCTTTTACTATATGCACATCTCCTAATAATGTTCGATAAAGAATAATTAAATACTGGAAATCCTCTTGCTTTTTACATTTACAATGAGGCTCATGAGATATACAATTTTGTTGACAACCAGGACATGGAATATATTGATTGGATTTACTTGAGTTTTCTGCCAAATAAAATCCACCTCCAAACATTCCCCATACATTCGACACTCGAGGATCATAACCGTTCTTTAATAAAACTTGATGTATTTTAGAATCAGAACCATGAAAGAGCCAATATTCATTTGCTTTTACATCTAATAATGGTACCAGTAATGGATGATTTTGTAAGTACCTTGAACTTTCTAAATCCTCTAATCTGTTATTATTCCTATCCATAATTCGTTTCTTCAACAAGAATAAAAATAAAATGAAATCATATTAATTTAAATTCAACATCAACAGAATTAGTACGTGCGTTTAGTGTTTTCATACACTCTATCTTTAATGAAGTTTTATAAAAGAAAAATTTATTTGGCTTCATAATTTATTATTGAAAAAATGGCATTATTTATTAATGACTCAATTAGATTTATTTTATAAAGAATTGTTTGCAATGCAGAAAAGACTTCACAAAGATTACGTAGTCCTTGTTTTTTTTTAGGTAAATAAATATGACTATTGTGCTTACCTTTTTGAAACAATATTCTTCCCAAAGATTTCTATTATGAATTCGAGTTATTTGCGTGACTATGAAGTGTGCTGGATCTCTTCCATTGATTGTTCCCCATTTATTACCATGATGTCCAATTGTGCTATTCAGCAAGTCACTAATGGTCTTGAATTCACTTGAATGAGGATTGACATCTAGTTCGAGATAAGATTGAGAAAGTGCATTTTTACCCCAATACGAAGGTGTGTTATGTTCGTTTTCTAAAGCATTTTCCTGCGGTTTTGGTTGAACGACGCTGGGTGGATGAGAATATTTTTGGAAATGAGATGGTTTTTTTCTATAACAATCTGCACCAAATTTGCAGGGAGGTCGGACTTCATGTTTTGGTGAGATATTGTTGTCACAATCGTCTAGGTCGTGTGAATGAGAATATTTTTCCATATGAGACTGGTCATCTCTTCTATTACAATTCGTACCAAATTTACATGGTGTTCGTGCATCTTCATGAACGAATATATCGTCATCGTCAGAGTCTTCTACATCTTCCGAATGAGAATACTTTTTCATGTGAGATGGATCATCTCTTTTATTACAATTCGCACCGAATTTACACGGTGTTTGCATCACACAGGGGAACATTTTAACAAACGATTTTGATGTTGTTTTTACTGTTTACTAGATCTAATTTAATTGAAAAAAGATAATTTAATAGAACATCGGAAAATTCAACATAAAAATATCCGTAGGATATGAAAGTAAATGCTGACGTACAATTACATGTTATATGGTTCTTGTCTTTACGCAGATCGCTAGAAAGATAGTGTTCATCTGAGTTCTGCTAATACCAGAATTAATAATAGTTGATTCCTCTCATCCAGGTGTGACTGTGGGTTTGGAATGGTGTATGGATGTTGGTGTGAGTCTTTCTTACTAAACCAACACCCACACACCCATACCCCTACGCCCACATCCATACCCTTCACTCACCCAAAATACTGACACCACCTTTTTCGATGGATTTTGCAAAAGTAGATGTTAGCATGTCAGTGATAGCTTTTCGAGAAAATACTTTTATGAGCTTGGGTAGATCTCAAAATCTTCAAAACAATTTTCTCTTCAATTTAAGACGCCGTTCGTCTCTCTACAACTTGTTCTCTTAAAGTTATGATCGAAACAAAATAAGCAAAAACGTAACGCTGTTACGGAGTTACATGGACAAGTCGGAATACAGGTGATATGGATGAAATTCAAAGTTTATTTATTTTCAAGTAGAAGCTCTTATGTAAGATCAAACAAAAAAAACGCACCGTTACAATGCCTCAAAAGCAGTTTATATACTTTTCATCTGCTTCCTATGATATTGCTTTTCTTGGTGCTGAATTTTTCGATGTTTCCCATTTCTGCACCTATCGTTTATCAGTGCATCAAATGGGTATTACTTTGGAACCATTGATGAAGAACATCTGAAGAACTATAGTGTTCTTCAATTCTTCGCCTAGCTTTTATTCAGATTTATTCTGTTTCGAAGTTTCGCGTCCGTCTACGAGAAGTAAAATAGAAAAAAACTGTTAGCGCAAACCCTTGTGGCATTAAAATATGACATTCGACATACCCATTGCTATCAAATTCCTGAAAAACTCTCTATTTTGTAAATTTCAGAAGGCATTTCTGTATTGTTACTAAAAGGATAGCAGCTAAAGTCGAAATAGAATCACTTGATAAGTTTTTCTATTAGATGTTACGAATGTAAGATCTTCAATCATCATTCCGACTCTTCAACCGGTGTTTCACCCACCTTATATCAAGCTGTTTGCCATAGTTTGTGCTGGTCTGTGGACTCTGTCTGTGAGGGAAGAAGATACAAATTTCTACCATAAACATTTCAACACTCCTTTCACATCGTGTTTTACAAAAGTTGCTCCCAATACATGTTGATGTTCATCCATATAGTCAAAGAATGTTATGTAACAGCAATGAACTTTCAAAATTTGTTGAAGAATCGAAAAAAGCATATATATTTCTATGCATTTTCTGAATACTGTTCTCGTTCTATTTGTTCAATTTTTATAAACCTCTCTCTCTTATCCTTCACCTGTACGTTCTTAGTGAATTTTCATTAATCATCAAAAAACAGTTGTTAGAATCACTGCTGAGTGTGTCGTTGTTAGTGATGAATACTAATATGTATGTATAATCTTTTTAGATGTGCACAATCGTACTATTACCTGATTGAAACCAGTCGACTATCGTTAAAACACATTGCAGGTTTCTCTTTCAGACATTCTTTAGTATTTACTTGGCTACTCAGTCGCTCATATGATGAAATCTGTTACTTTATATTCAGCGATGCTCGATTTTCAGGAAAAAAACTCTGTAGTGATAGTCGACGTTAACTGTCGTAAGAGTAATATTTTTCAACAGACGTTGGGCTTATAAAGTATGTTATCTGCTATGCTAAAAGTCTGAATAAATTCTTACGCAACAAAGTTCAACGATTGTATAACTATATACTTAGGACATACCAAAAGTCTTTACGGAGCTATATCAATTTCTTATAGAATGCTTGAAGAAATTTTCTTTTTTTATGTAATGATAGCAAAAACGATGCTCTATTTTTCTATGCTATTTGATCAATCTTCAACTAATATCATACTAATAAAATCTCGATAAGAACTGTTTTTGTGTAAAACTTAGCTTACCGATGAAGCAGATTAATACGCTTTGCATTTCAATTTTCAAACACTCAATATATTGTACTAAAAGACAAAATATACCACAAGATGCAGTGTAAAAAGTTCTACAACTTATAAAGAACAGTTTATTTTATATATGAAATAAGAAAAACAGAATTTCTCTTCGGATGATTTTTTCGAGCGCTGAAAATTGGTCGCACAGAATTTTGGTTTCTTTGACGAGAATTACACAGTTAAAATAAGCTTTACTTTGTAGATTGTAGAGCTTTTCACATTGCATCTTGTGGTGTATTTTGTTTTTTTAAATAAAAGATATCAGGTAATAAAAAGGTAAAATAAGAAAAAATGAGTTCATCTTCTACCAAAACCTATCGTTTTCGTACGATCGAAAATTGATCAGTCAAAATTTTGTTCATTTGAAAACAAAAATGCAACTATTTAAAAAAGCGATCTTATGTAAATTGTAGAGCTTTTCATGCTACATCTTATGTTATAATTTGTTTTTTAATACAATTTATTAAGCGATTGAAACATTTAATCTGCCTCATCCGTTAGTTAAGTTTTACAAAAAAACAGTTCTTATCGAAATTTTATTATTATGATATTAGTTGAAGATTGATCAAATAGCACAGAAAAATAGAGCATCGTTTTCGCTATCACTACATAAAAAAAGAAAATTTCTTCAAGCATTCTATAAGAAATTGATATAGCTCCGTAAAGGCGTGTGGTATGCCCTAAGTATTCCTTCTGATTTAGAAATAAGTAGCTACACACATGTAATAATAACGAATGTTATCGAATCGCTCTAGTCGTCTCATTTGTTTTCTTTTTCATTCTTTCATTCTTCTCTTCCTTTCTCTTTCTTTCTTGAGTCAATATGCGCTGCTTCACAGACACTGAAACAGTAGAAATAATAAATAGAACAAATAAACGTACATATCTAGTTTGGCAACGACTGTACATCAAAAGAAAATTCATACTTATATCCAATAGTTCATCATGAAACAATTCTAGATCTATTGAAAAAATCGAAAAATAAGATTTTATTGGTAGTTGTATATTTCAACGAAATTTAGGATGGATCAGTTCCTAGTAGAAAAAACGATTGTAATAATTCTCAACCTTAAGAAGTATGTACAGCTCTCTTAAGTCTACTAAACTATTAAACTGAATCATCATGTTATTTATTATTAATTTCAAGCAATACACAAGAAATATTAATATTTAATTATAACTATCACTCATGTAAAAATCACTTGATAAATAAAAATAACTCGATAGTTGATCATACTTTCCATAGATTTTGAAATCTAAAAATGAGGCTTTCATTGATCCCATCAAGAAGAGAGACTCGTTCTTTTTTTCTTTTATCAAAACTAGTCGAACTTCTGTTATTATTATGAATATGAAATCATTTGGAAAATTTTCAAATGCACACTATTACGAAAAGAACGAAAGAAAATTTATTTTTTATAAAAAAATCAAATTGTAAAATAATGTCATGTATTCGTTTCAAAATTTGACAAAAATTTTGAAGACTCAATGTGTTGAAAATATATCATATGAAATAATGAAGAAGTAAGCAGGAAAAATTTTCATGATCTAAATTCTAAAATAAAAGTAGAATGTCAAAAAACAAACAGCATCCATAAAACAAAACACTAAACTTTACCTTAACAAATAAAAATTTACTGATTACAGTAGCCTTTCAAGACAAACTACTGTACAGAGAGAAGAATGTCTTATTTAAATCTAATTATTAGCTAATTCCTTTTTATTTCTTAATTTTGGTTAGATACAATGATCATTAAAGTAGATTGGAAATAACAAAAAAAAAGTAAATTTTCGGATCTCCATGTAATACAATGGATTGTCGGATTCTAAGCGGAGATGCACTTCAAATATTATATTTCAATAACACACACTAAAAGAAGTCACTATGAATCTTTTCCATATACTATTCGTGTTGAATAAAAGACACTTCTATACGTACATTACAACTAACCAAGCAAATGAAAAACAGCAAATGTCAA